GGATAATCGGTGATTCACGCCCCTGCTGCTAGTTTCTGTTAACGTCAATTCAACCCTTCCGTCTCCGATTCACTGGTTTCTTCGGTGAAAATGGCTCCGATCTTCTGCTAGGGTCTCCTAGATCCCCCTGCTCACTCTCCGACATCACTCTGTACCTTTACTTCTTCGCGCTTATCAAATTTGTAGTTATGGCTATCCGAGTTACTTTATCCTACTCCGGCTACTTTGCCCAGGGCCTGGCCTCCGCCGGTTGTCGTGCTGGTAATTCGCGTTGCCTCCACGAATGCTGGATCCGATCTCGGGTATTCGGCCCTAGCCAGAAACCTGACCGTGATCCCTCCGGTGGCGTGCGTAATTACCATTCCGATTACGGGCGGCCTAAACCGAATTGCTGGGCTAAGAATTCAGCCTCTTTGTATTCTACTATCTCCAAAGAAATTCTGGGAGATAATTCTGATAATCCGATCATGTTGGGTTTGATTTCGCTATTGAAGTCAACTGGTTCGGTATCGTCGTCGTCTGTGGCGACCATGTCGGTATCTGGTGTTTTGCCGACCAACGCCTCTTCGATTATTCCCTTTTTAAAGGGATCGAAGAGCCTTCCTAGCAACGAGTCGACTCCTGTTCCTGCAACTTTTGAGGTGGATAAAGGAGGGACACTGTGTTATGATGGCAGTGATGATGCGAATTCAGGGTACGGTCCCCAAGGTCTTGAGAAGTCGAGTTGGCTATCGCGCTTGTTGAACGTCTGTTCAGAGGATGCTAAGGCTGTGTTTACTGCTGTGACTGTTAGTGTGCTCTTTAAATCATTCTTGGCTGAACCGAGATCAATTCCTTCGTCTTCTATGTGCCCAACTCTGGAAGTCGGTGACCGTATTTTAGCGGAGAAGGTTAGTTTTTGTTGAGAAATCAAGTTTTCTATAATCTTTACGACTCTTTCTGATCCTAGTTGTAACTTGAAAATTGCAATGGATAAATAAAATTTTTATTATCAATGGCTGTGTCGAGAATTTTGGGGAGCACAATTAAGCATGTTAAGTAACAGAGAATATTGAAATATTAATGTTAACTCGTCTTTCTTGGTGCATTCGAGATTTGAACTAACCATCTCCGAATTAAGATTCCAGGGATTGAAATTTGGATAGAAGAGATTGAGGTCTGTTGGATGTCCCTATACTGTACGGCAGTTGGGTTCTGTCGTCCTATGCGAGTGATGCTTTCTTTATCTAGGCACGACTAAATAGTTAGACCCGTGATTTGATCCCAGAAAATAGGTCGTTGGGTGTTCACTTTATTAACTGGTATCTAGGGGTGGATATGGAGGCGTCTGAATTTAGTAAATAATATTTAGAGCTGAGATTGTCATATACTGCTTTTTTTTTTGGTAAACTAATTGTATTTGGTTGTGATTATGATGTAACAGGTTTCATTCCTTTTCAGAAAGCCTGATGTTTCAGATATAGTTATATTCGAAGCACCTCCAAGTTTACAGGTATCTTAATACGGCTTCAGTTTTATTACCGTCACTACTGGTTGTTTTCTCTGCTAGTAAGATGCTAATGATATGTCTTCCTTGATATCTTGGCGTCATATAGGAAAAAGGTTTTAGTTCGGCTGATGTATTTATTAAGAGAATTGTGGCAAAGGCTGGGGACTGTGTAGAGGTGAGTTTTATATTTGAGAAATAAAGGGTCTCATGTGGTTGTTCCACTTGTCTTTGGAGAATGCTTGTTTCTCCTCCCTACCAAATCGCACCTTTACCTTTTTGAGTTTCTTGTAGGTTCGTGATGGAAAACTGCTGGTGAATGGTGTTGCTCAAGATGAAGAATTCGTTTTAGAGCCCCTTTCTTATGAGATGGATCCAGTGGTAATGTTATATCATTTGTGGTCGGGTTGAATTTTCCTTCCCTTGCAACGCTACTTTAACAATTCATCCTGGGCTTTTGCACCATTTTAAGCTTGTTCTATTTCTGGTTGCAGGTTGTGCCAGAAGGTTGTGTCTTTGTGTTGGGAGACAATCGTAATAATAGCTATGACTCACATAATTGGTAATTCCTCAGTCTCCTTGTTAGTACTGATTTTCCGTTGCTCTTTGGATGATAAGTTGGTTTAGGTGGAGATTCACTTTGGCCCGTTCATAGATGAAGGTCTTCTCGAAACTTGTTTATGTAAACATTCTATCCGAGATTAATGTGTCTGGAGTTTGTCATGATGCATGATAATCGGTGTCACAAGTTCACACACATGTAAAAGAGATCGAATTTATGAAGCACATAACCTTTTTGTTGCAATCTTTTGTTTCAGGGGTCCGCTTCCTGTAAAGAACATTGTTGGTAGATCCATGTTTCGGTACTGGCCTCCTTCTAAAGTATCTGACACCCTTTATAAATCACCAAGTGCAAACAATTCTCTGGCTGTTTCTTGACACGTCCTATGCTGTCAAAAGGTGATGAAGGTTTTTAGATGACAATTATTTGATCCATCGGCTATTGTTGACATTCAACAATCTTCCAAGATGAGACCGACCGTCGTGAATTCTGTGCGGGTCGAATATTTATTCATCGTTGTAATTGATGTAAATTTTGTATATGACCTTAGAGCGAACACCGATCCATTCTTTGCTGTGACAAGTTTTGCTCCACGGTGTGAAGCTCGGATTTGAACAATGAAAGAAAACGAAAGAAACAATGTGGTTGATTTGGGTCGTATTGGATGTTTTAAGTCTTCTGGATCTGGATCCGTGAAAATTGTTCATGGGGATGGAACTAATGTCTGAGCATAACGTCCATAGTCAAGCCTCCAAATCTTTGTGGAGCAAAGTCAGCAATGTATTTGCAAGGGCATGATGATGCTCATGTGTCTTGTAAACATTTACAAATTAACGTTCAATTCCAGAATGAATTTCTGAATCAGGTGTTGTTCCTTCTTGTCTTTCCTCTTTCAGAATAATCCTTAGTGTACCCAACGTAGCCTGTTTTTTTATCGATGCCACTGGAAGATGAAATTTTGCGTGTCTATCGAAATGTGAACAAAAGCTATTGGGTACTATCATAGAAATTGCATCTGAAAGGAACATATTTTTCAAAATTAAAGAAAAGCTTGAAGGTTCCGGGAAAAGTACCGTCTGCAGGAATAAAGCGGGATGTAAATAATAATTTTCTCCGGTGGAGATAAATTATTTTTGGACATAACGAGAAGAATTAAGATGAAAATTGTAGTATGAGCTTTTGATTAAAAAAAAAAAGGATTAATTACTTGCGCATATCAACCCCTTAACAAGTATATGATGTTTACATTTTCAAGCCATCGTAATTTGGTGGTGTAAGAAGTTTAAACTATACTTTTCAATAATAATAAATTAATCGATAAACAGAAACGAGTAACGGTAAATATTTGACAAAACATAAATGACATGGATGTGAATTAAACTTTTTTTAAAATGTTTTAACTAAGAATATATATATATATATATATATATTAAAAATAGAAATGTTTTGAGAAACAAGCATTATAAATAATCATTTATGAATGGTGAGAAAAAATCATGATTTCTGGTGTGTGGTGGGTGGGTGTGTGTGTGTCAAAGCGTCCAGCCCAGCATCTCGTGTCAACTCTATAAGGGCAACCAAATAACCCATCGCATGTGATACTTAAACAAGGCCATTTGTTTTTTTGTGTGTAACATGTTTCCCTAGATGATTCTTGGCTTCTTGCACGTTAACAGTTTAGGTTGGGGACACCATCACTGGCCCTGCTCCTCGTCTGGTTACTCGCCTCGTTTCTACTCCCGGGCAATCCTTTCATTTCGAGGATCTTGGGTCCCTTCTCCACCAATGAGAATTGCGCTTAATTGAAGTGATTAATTTTTCATAATATGAGGAATCAAGTTTTGGATTCTCACTAAACAATATATTTACATTTATTTCCTAACTGAATCTTAAATATGATTATTTTTAATAGAAAAATATATGCAAACCATCAAACAAAGTTCACTTCTCATCTGAAAACCTTTACCTTTCCCAATCAAAATATACCATTGTCCTCCACAAATGGTTCTCCCTTTTAACAATCTCACTCTTTATCCTGCTAGCATTGTGAATAATTTGCAATACCTTTCATTTACACGGCCACACCCACATATCTCCTTTGCCATGTATTTTGCCCTACCCCTAAGAATACTTATTATGCTCCCTCCCTACACAAATCTCCTAATCATTCTTCGACTGCCTTCTCTTATGATGACTAGGTAGGGTGTGCTAATGATAGTTGTTGTGCTGGTGGCTATTGTGATCCCAGTCTTATTTCTTGGAGTTCCCAAAGCAAACTATGGTTGTTGGCTCTTTCAAAGAGGCCGAATACAGGTCTCTTGACGTGTGTAGTCCCTCTTTTGTGTGTCCCTGATCTTTGTTGTGACAACCTTGGTGCCACGTATTTGGCTGCTAACCCAGTTTAGCATTTTCAAATAGAGCAAGTTGCTATTGACTATCATTTTGTCTATGAATGTGTGTTTCTCCGAGTCACTTCATTTAAATTTTCGCATCTAAAGGGTCACCTTGTGGATGTTCTCACCAATTCTCTTTCGGCTACTTGCTCTGCTGCTCTTCATTCAAGCCCCACGGTTGTTCCACTCCTGTTATGCTCAAGTCAGGCTATTGGAGCATCCGGCTTAGCATTCTGTGGAAGCTACACATCGTTAGCCAAATCACCTGGAGCATGTGATTACCTGAAGGCGGCATGCTACTATTCTCTCCATGTAATAGATTTTCCTGTACGATTCTATTCGAAGTATTCAACAGCCAGGTGGCAATCTTGCTGAGTTTCTATTTTACCTTTTCAAGGGAATATCAACTATTTTGGGAAATCAATAATTCTTTATATAAATATCAGGACTTTCAAGATTATGTCATTATTTTTTTTCTGGCCAAGAAAAATTTTATTCATACAATTATTATTGTTATTATAACAAATCATGATGTAAGTACAATTTAACTATTTAAGGCAACTGGATATAACACTATGGCGTTTAGCCGTTTGCGCACTGGTCACCACCTTGCCCCCACGCAGGTACAGGCATCCAGACGACGATGATAATTGGTTGCGTCTCGGTCGTCTTCATTCTTCTTCTTCAAATTCTTGTGTTCCATCCTCCTCCTGTTAAGCCCTTTCCTTCTGACTCCAATGCTTCATCCATTTTGCAGGTTTCTTTAATCAAATCCTACATCCGATCTTTCATCATCTATGTTCTTTTTCTCAAATTTATATTTGTCATCTATAAATCATGATGAAGGCTTTTAATTATCTTTCTTAGTTGCCTTTTTCTTGATTCATGTAAACCAGGACGTTTTAAAGGTTATTTCGGCCAAACAGAAATGGGATTTCGACGGTGTTAGAGTTTCCAAGTTCGATGTTGGCAAGGTTCGATTCAGCGCCTCCATCAAATATGAGTTTCGAATCGGGTTGGGCAGGAATCATTTGCTCCTCAGATCTTCGGACCAAGTTGGGTCTTGGAACAAGTTTAGAAAGTCCAAATCCGACCTAGGGTCTCTGATTCGTCAAGTTAGCTCACTTGCTGTGCTTGATACCTTCAAATTGGAGGGTCCATTTGAGTTAGGGGTCGATGGACATCACCAACTGACTCTGTCCCTGCCGGTATGCTTTGTTTCTGGTTTTTGCTTCTGTATAGGTTATGCGAGTGTTCTATTCGTATTTGGCTCTGATCTAAACGTTGACGTCTCTCTAATTTGGTTCTCATCTCTGTTAGAACCAATTAATAACCTTATAGTTGAGGGATTGCTGTTGGAACTTGCTAGAAGAAAAATCCTTTTCTCCGCTTGACGGCTGAGAAAATTTTATCTTCTGTCCAGTGTATATGCGTTTTGTTTTTGAAGTTATAATTATAACATGACATCAATTATCAATAGTACTCGATTAAAGCTTTTTGCTGCTTGGAATCTATAAACAAAATTATCATTCTTTCTCAGGAATTTAAACCGGAGAGAATTGCGAGTCCAAGTTTTAAACTTAGTTGGTTAGCTAGTCTTAAGTATATAAACGAGCGAAAAGCACACGATAATAGAGACCATTAGAACTGTCACCAACAGTTGACCGGCAACCAAGCCGCAAGGAGTGAAGGAATGTAGCTGTTGATGACTTGGGAGACAGAAGAGGACCTCAAGGATGGCCTGAGGGAACAAAGTCCTCTTACTAATCGCAGAGGGATGTTGTTTTTGATTTATTGTGTTTGGTTTTATATAGATAACTATCTTTATGCCCTACTACATCATCTGTCCGTGACGATGGGTTGAAACTGTTTTTCATTGATGTATTATTAATTATAACCTAAAGTGGTTTCAATTGGGTGGCTGCTTGCATCTGCTTCCTTTCTAATGTTGCAAATGATTTTTCAAAGTTTAGCTCACGGCTTAGTCAGAAAATTTGACGTTTACCATGCAATGAATCAGGTTTTTGTTCTCTGATATGTATGGCAATCTATATTCGGGTAAATACTTGCTCCATAACTCTTGCCCTTGTCATGCAGATGAACATCTCGTATAGTGGTTTGAAACACATCCTTGTTGGTGAAGGCATCACATTAGAAGTGAAAGGAGCGCAAGAAGTCTCCCTTTTTCATTCATCAGATATTGATCAGCAGACAAATGGAAGCGCTGTGTTTAGCAAGGGGAAGATTGGTTTTGGGCCCTTTATGCAATCAATGTGCATGCCTTTAATTCCTATCCGCATATTGGGCTCTGCATCATTAGTTGCCTACAGAGCACGGAATCCTGATGTGTACATAGAAAATACATATATTTCGGGGGACACAATTGAGCTGCTCCCAGAAAAATGTTACCGGGGTCTTGTGCACAGAAAGCGAGCATGCCCAATTAATTCCTTTAGTTTGAGATTAAGCATGTTGGAAAAAATTTTTAGGAGCCTTCTGGGTCGTAGGATCCTTCAAAATCAGGTTTCTCGTTTGGTCAAAGCTAATGTTAAAGCATCATCTAATGTTAGATTCTCCATAGAGTTGGAAAGGGTAGTTGGGAGCAATATCACTGTCAATGGTACACTGCCCAAGTGGAGAACAAGGCCCAGTGTAGAAAGAGATTGGTTTCAGGTATGGGCCAGAGTTGAGGGCGACAGGCTAAAGCCCCTCATGGTCAAGAAATCAAAGCCTTTTATCGAATCAGATTCAGTTTCGTGGGGTAATTTGATGTCCAACATGTCCTTTACAAAGTTGCGATCTGTGCTTGTTCCTCCAGAGGCTCTTACATTGGATGTTAAATGGTAGTGCATGCTCTTGTGAACTGTTAACATAGTTTTTTGCCCCCGTTAATGGGCTAAGTTTCTAAATTTTCTTATTAATTCCTTGTTATATAATAGGTTTTGACACCTGTAAAGGAAGGCTCATATTATCTTTGTAAATACCCAAGGCAAAAAGGAGGGGAACATTTAGCTTTTCTTTTGGTTGCCCTTGTTTGTTGGCTTCTGGTTTTGATTTGGATGATTGAAGCCAAATTCTTTGGCACTGTTGTTACTTCTCAACTATCCTCTTTAAATAAATCCTAATTCTTAATGGTTGCACAATACACTAAATTGCTCTGTATTGACTATGGAGGGTTTATATGCGTGGTGTGCTAATCTGGTTCTTAATCTTGTATCCTAGGGGTAGGATAGTGATGAATTTCAATCCTCATCTTAAACGCCTGTTCCTGCCTTTTTGGCGCTTGATGAACAATAGCATCTGCTTATTGCATTTGGCTGAAAGTTCTCCCTTAGTTAATGGTGGGTTCTTAATTTATCCTTCACATGGCTAACGAAGAATTGCATATAAACAAACACTTTTTACATCAATAAACAATCTATACATGTGGTTTACGCATGCATTCACTTTCAAGTTCCACGTCATGCGAATTGTATTTAATTCATGCCAGGTGATCGAGAAACCAAAAGCAAACAAGTAAACAAGAACCAGAGATCTAAACTAAACCATGGTCATCTCAAGGGTATCTCGGGGATGGCCTTGCTTGTCTTCCACCTTTTTGTATCTATACCAAGAAGCACAAACCAAGTAAAACCCAAAATTAAGGACGCTCAACGCAGACAACAGCCAGTAGAAGTAGTTAAGCTTGTCTCTGTTGAGGCTATTACTTGCCAGCCATCCTCCACTCACTTTGTTAACCACTTCAACCACCACGGTGCTTGTAAAATAGCCAAATGCCACAGAACTCTAAGATATAGCCGTGCTGAGTGACTTCATTCCTGCCGAACTTTCAGCATAGAAAAACTCCAGAAGTCCAACCAGAGTAAACATATCTGCTGCTCCAAAAATAGCGTACTGGAAACCTAGCCAAAACAAACTCAAAGGCAGAGGCTCTGTGCTGTCCACCATCTCGTGTTGGATGGCCACCGACTTCCGGTGGGTTTCAACAACTCCGGCGACTGCCATGGAAATGGCTGACAGAACCAACCCAACCCCGACGCGTTGAAGGGGTCGGATTCCCGTGGAGATTCCGGTGATTCTCCGAGCAAGTGGGACGAATATGCGGTCGTACAAAGGGATTAGGGCGAACATGAAGAGTAGAGGGATAACTGGGATAGATGGGCCTGGTACTTTAAATCCCTTGATGTTGGGGTTCATGGTGGTGCTTTGCTGTATAGAGAAGGTCTGAAGCTGAGCCAAACATGTGTTCATGAATATGGTGCTACATATTATTGGTAGCATACGGATCAATATTTTTGTTTCTTCTACTTGGGTCACCGTACACAGACTCCATGGTCCCGAGCTTATGGCCGTCGCTGCATCAGTGGTGCTCCTTATAATTGCTGCCCGGTCCAAGAACCTAGGAAATCGATTTTCCAAAAGAAATATGAGAAAGTGCTTGAATAATACTTTTGAGTGTTTCTCAAGAATTCCAAGCTTCTTCATATTACATGATCACTGTCTAAGGAAAAACAAAGGCTAGTCATGTACATGAGAGGGTTTACCTGAATTGATCTGTCCTTTTGAGGATTTCTTGATTGTCCTCCCCTTTTATCTCAAGAATCTCATGTAGTTCCTCCTCGTTCTCTGGAATTTGCAGTTTTCTGTTTCTGAAGGCTGCCACAAAGACCTAGTAGTTCAAGGAACACATGAATCAGATCCGTATTATTTGCATTTGTAACATTATTCCGATAAATAAACGTCACGTACCTGTATGATCCGCACAAGGGGGCTTCCCTTTGGAATATTATTTCGATATAATGATTTGCCCATGATTATAAAGATGACTGCGAATAATACAGAGATGGTGCATATGGTAAAACTCCATTCCCAGCTTAAGTTGGTGCTAATCCAAACGATGAAAGTAACACCAACTATAGCTCCAATGGTGAGGCTAAGCAAGAACCAGTTGAAAAAGCTAGATAGTTGAGCTGCCTCTTTGGGATCTTTATCATCAAACTGGTCGGCCCCTAAGGCTGGCAAGGCGGCTTTAACACCGCCAGTTCCTAATGCAACAAGGTAAAGCCCGGTGTAGAGGATCGCAGCTTGGCCTCCACTAGCAGCCTCGCATTGACTTGTCTGGATTGTTGCTGCGCCCTTGCAGGGGATTGGTCTTAATTGTTTGAAGTGTGCTTGTACTGCCAAGATACCATACCCCTGTATCCAAACACAAACCCTTAAAAATGTTCAACTTGTGTGTTGTTGTTGCTTGTTACTGGGAAGCCTTTACGGTGTAATTTTCAGACAAGTGAGTTATACATCAGAATCTAATCTTTTGCTGTTATCTGAGCTTTCTCTTGAAGAGAAATTTGATATTTGGGTCCGTAAATACTTGCATGCTGATATTTTACTGCCTAGAACAACTAGTACTTCAGAATTAATCTATGTGATAAAAAAAAAAAGATTTTGAAGAGATTGGAGTTGAATTTATCGGATTTCAAAAGCATGATGAACCGACCTCTAACAGTATCGTAGCCAAGGATGTTGAATCATGAATAGTCAATGCGTTTAAGGTGTGGAACATAAAATAATGATGGCAAAGTTATTTTATATTAATAATTAGTGAAATAATTGACGTGTTTGTATCTCCAACCTACTGTGCAAATCACGCTATTCTTGCTGAAGTGATTCTGAGCCACGGCGGTCAACAAAAGATTCATTGCTGAAAACTCACCGAATGAATGAGTTGGCTTCAATATATGAAATATGTAATGCTTGACTCATTTCCCATTATTTCCTCAATTATTCAATTCAATTCATGGCTAAAATCACACAGACTTCGTAACAGCAAGAGCTGATTTTCTCTGTAATGTTGAATTGGAGAGTAAAGTCTCAGGCGAAAGAAAGAAGAGGGACTTACCAAGATTTCCATGGAGACGAAGAGGACACAAGTCTTGAACCTTGAGAGATAAGTGTCAGAGACGAAACCCCCAAAGAGTGCAAGCAGAAACGCAGTCCCCATAATGTTGGTCACAGTGGTGGCTGACTTTGTTAAGTTGAAGTTCATGTACCCAAAGAAGTAAGTCACCAAGCTCACTGCCATGGCAATGAAAGCCATGTTCTCAAGCCCCTCCATTGCTGCGTTCACAGTTACAAAAACTTATAACGCATTCCATAGCTTCAAAAGAACATTACAGAGTAAGGATACTCCAATCTGTTAATTACCATACACAAAAAGTGCAGCCCTGTTTCCTCCCAGCCGTCTTTCTACCTTTGATCGAGTTCCCATATTTCTGCAGATTCCCTGATAAGAGTCATCAAACAACAAAGTGGTTAACCTAAGCAGAACTTGTTTGGTCTGATACAAGACCATTAAACATGAATGACAAGAAAAACTTAGGGGGTGAACTGATTACCATAGCTAGTGCCATGTCTTCTGCGACCAAGGAGGCAGAATCAGCTTGTTTACTTTGTAGCAGGTAGTGCTGCTGCCATAATATTTATGGCGACCAAGACCATATGGCTCTAAGTATTATTTTTGCGCCCAAAATTACGTGATAATAATAATGCATAAAACCCACCAAGAAATGAAATGGCATCTTGGCTTTAAAATAACCTTATCGGTCCCATTTTGTTTGTTGAGTTCCATTCCTCTCTCCGTTAGAAACCTGTAACGTAGACATTTTTTGGCATTATTGTGCAACTTCATCATTTATTTTCACGCTAATAGGGGTTCATAAAAGAAAAAAGGGGGGATAAGACTAGATGGTACGATTCCATTTTCTTTAATGAAATTGTGCGGTCTCTGTATATCATTCATATTCATGCATATTCCGTTATTCCTCTTATTGACCTTCGTGCAGCTTTCGGAGCTTTTAATTTATATGTCGTGACGCAAAGCCAACCGTGAAAAATTTGCCTTCTTGTTTATGGATTTAGCTTTTGATTTTTCCCGTAGTCTGATGTCGCTTATAGTTATAGGCAAGCTCTGTTCAAGGTTATGAATAGATATTTTCCTGAAGTGATGAATGATACCTTGAATATCATTACTCTATGCAGTCTGCACTTGAAGCTCATATTTGGTTAAACCTGGGTTGGGACAAGTTCATGGCAAAATTATTCATTAAAGCCATCATTTTCAGCCCAACTGTAGTCCTGACGCCCTAATTTCAATAATTACTTGATTGTTAGAAGTGCAAGTAGCCTAGACTAATTGTTTTCAATGCTTCTGTAGTGTTTATTATTTTGTTTGTGCTAAATTAATAACTAGTTAAAGAGTCTCTTTTGATCCTAGATCTAAGACCTCAATATATTTTGACTCAAATTTATATTTTTTTCATACTATCTCTTTTTATTGCAAATATTAAAAGAGAATTTTTATCATTGGAATAGTTTCCGATGTAAAAAATTAAATGGGTATTTTAGAAAAATCAGCACACATTTTAAAAATAACTGATTTAATTAATTTTTTTGAATCTCTAGAAATTGCTCACCTAGCTCCTGTAATTAAGACCCCGGAGTATAAAATAATAAGAAGGTGACGAAGATAATGATGACATGATAGTCCATGAAACAACCAAGGGACATTAATTAATCAATATTTACGCACACTTGATTGACTTGGCACACTCTTTGCATGTTTAGCAATTAACAATAATATAAAAGGAAATTTGTTGCCAGAGTCGTTGGCTTGCTTAAGGGGTACTTACACCAAGAACTTCACATAAGCAGCATTTCTTCATGTAGGAGAGAGTGCCACTAGATCAAAGAACAAGGAAAAGAATACGTACTATCAGGTCTTAACCTCTTCCCACTTTGAAAGCACACAAAAGGAAACAAGGAGAATCAGATACTGAATGGTTCCGATTTTAACGGGGAGAGGGGAATCGGTTTGTTTACTTTAAAAGTTAACGGGCCAAAAATTTTGATTATCATGTCAAAGAGTTACAGAACTGACAGAGATTCAGCCCTTACAGACTGGCTAGCTGCCTTCTGTGGCTTGGGTGGATTGCTTTGAACAAAGATGCTTTTTCTAGTTTATTGGGATATGTGAACCCATCATGCATTGTAGTTTATAAATCAAATCTTTATTAATTGAATCAATTTTTATTGATTGACTTGCTTCATTTTCTTTTTATTACATGAAAAGAATTCAAACTCCACAGTCATCCATAACTCCACCTTTCATAACTTATTTTAGAGTATAGCACATATGAAATACTTATAAAAAATTATCTCAATAATACTTGCAAAATTAAATAAATGAAATGCATGTTTGCAAACATAAACGTTACAAGGAAGGAAAGATGCTTATGAATGCCAAAATTTAATTTACACGTAAAAATTGAAGTTTATTTGATCAAAAGAAAATGGATAAATTGTATAGCAAGGGATCTAATCAGAAATTTAGAAAATGAAATTTTTAAAAACAAATTTCAAGTTGTGGATTAAATAAACAGTTTCATTACTTGTTTAGATAATTCATGGACTAATTCAAACAAGAGTTCACTTTAAAATACAAACAATAAAGTATTTCAAAGAAACTCCGACTTATAACAAGTCTTAGATAATGTACAGGTCTAGAGATAACATAAACAAGAAGTGTTCGAGGGAGTAATATATAGCACCAAAAGTTTAGTCACAGTCGCAGCCATATGGAACGTGAAGTGAAAAACATTGGCCAGTAAACATGAAACACTAAAATATATGTATGTTGAGGTTTGTTAATTGTTAGAAAGGCATGCATTTGTCTTGCGACTTGGCTGAAAGCCTGAAAATAGGGTTTTTGGCATATTCCAGATCTGTTGCACATCACAATTATTGCTCTTTTTTATATAAAAAAATTAGGTAAATTGAATTTAAAAATTCAACAGGAACATAATATGTCTTTAAACTCAATAGAAAACTTAGAACTAGATTATGGATTAAATATTTATCTATCAGATTAACTTTTATTGATAGTTATTGCTCTTTGAACCTGTTATTGCACCATATTGCGTGGGCAAGTAGTATTGATAAAAACAAAATATGATGAATCATTCCCATGCCACGATTATTCGTAGTATATGATGTCATGATACAAATTATCCAAAGTATAACAAAAAAAAATGATATTCCATCCTAATCAAGGAATGAAAAATTGAATCAATAAGCATGTTGAATAAAACAAATCACTGGATCTATCCCCTCTATCACCTTCTTAGAGATCAAATTACACGTGACTGAATCGTTATTTGTTATTTTTAATTTTATCTTTAAAGAAACAAATAGATATATTGATTGACTAGCACCACATGCTCATCTCACTAATATTTTTCATAGAATTTATTATACTCCACCCTTAAAGTGAAGAGATATTTTAATGCGATTCTGCACAGCGCTTGCCCTGGCCATGAATTAAAAAAATCAATGAATCGTTAATTAGTCAGATTTAGAAAATGATATTAAATGTTTTAGAAGAAAACTGATCGGCAAAGAAAACGATAAAATGAGTGTATTAAGGAGAGCTATATTACTAGCAAGCTTTGAATAATCTGACTCATATTGAGGTTTCATTTAAATAAATGGGACTTCTCTAATTTATTAGAAATTATTTTAAATTTTTAAATCATATTCAAGATTAAAAATATTAATTTTCCATGAAATAGTTGAGCAGTAGATAGTTTAAAAAAAAAATCTAACACCTGGTTATATTATTGTTTTAAAAAATATAAATTAAGAAAGTATGGGTTTTAAGCTTTCATGAAGGAGTTAATAAAGAACGTAACAAAAAAATCTAACAATATATAAAAAATCATTAAAGTCTTTTATGGCTTAAAAAATAGTTTACGGTCATTTAGGGGCCAAGAAAAAAAAAAGAAAAAGATTACGGTCCAGTGCAGTGTACACTGTTAAACTGATCCGCTGGAAGTAGTCAGTATCCATAAGAAACCCAACATTTCTGATTAATAATCATAAAAGCCTTTTATTACTTAAGGAAATTGTTGTGATTTTCTAAGACTAACAAAAAGTTATGTCGGCAAAAAGAAAAAAAAAACTAAAGTTTATGAAAACAAATGAAAAAATAAAACCGTTAGATTACACCCAAAAAAGAAAAAAAAACACACCGTTAGATTAAGTATATGTAGAGATGGGCACGATCCGTCTTCGGCGTCCCCAGCTCTTTCCCGAACAGTACCCCCAATACCTTCGGTCTCCTGCTCTCCAATCGTCGCCGTGGTTAAATCTCTCCTTCGCCGGCGTCTTCCGTGGTCATCATTGAGTCATTTCAGTGTATTATAGGTAGGCACCCAACTGCTAGTCGGTATGATCAGACTGCAAGCTTTTCAACTTAAGAATGTTAACTTCCTTTCGTTTCGGCTTGAATAATCTTTACTTGATTTAGCTGGTCCTACTGACCATGTCTTTTCCCTTAGATCATAGAGTGCGGATGTTCCATATCTTGTTTTTTCCATGAATTTACCATAACTTGGATTATAACTTGTTTAAACAGCTACTGTAGTTGGTCACAATATGTGATAATGATAATTAGTATCTGTTTATTTATTTATATATCTTAAGAATTGTTGATGGAAACTAATCATTGGTGAAGATTGCGATTAATGAGCTAAGTAAGATGGTTTTATTGGTTACTCTTTCTGGGCTACTTCATTGTTGTTCCAAAGCTTATTTAGCGGGACTTGGTATTGCCATATGATTATATTCGTTATGTTTTGCAGCTGACGCTATGCTTTTTCTGATTATAGATGAATGTCTTTTTTGTTTTCAATATATGTCACTTAAAATATATTAATGTAATCACAATTAATTCAATCAGAATTGATAATTGAACTTTGAATTAACATTGTATTTTGTTGATTATATCTGGAAAGGAGTTCTATGTGAAATATTAGGCTTTCTCTTACGGCCGTCAAAACCCACTTTAAGCATTCTAATCCTAAAACTATAACATATTGCCGATAGACACAATCCGCACAGAAAGCTGAAAGAAAACAAACAAGAAAAATTCATTTCTCCCCAACACATAAGTAGCCATGTAGGCACACCTGTCCAAAGCCCATCAGCGTGTTTATTATACTTATATTTTTATAATTATCATATTTTAATTAAAGAATCTTCTAACTAAACTAACTTTTAAGAACAATACTTTGGTTGAAGTTAATTGCAAAGTTTCTTTTGAAGGAAGCTTGGAAGTTCTAAATTACAAAGGAGCAAATTGGCAACTTGAGAAGCATTGTGCAGATCGCAATCAACTCGAGGACAATGGACTTGCGAGAAGCAATCAGTAATCAAACGGATGTCTCATTGAGCTTTGCAAAGCATCTATTGTTGAAGGGAGACGAGAACAATAACTTGGTGCTTTCACCCTTGTCCATCCACGTGGTGCTTAGCCTCATTGCTGCTGGTTCCAAGGGTTCCACACTTGATCAACTTCTCTCCTTCCTCAAGTGTAACTCCACAGATCATCTCAACTCCTTTGCCTCTCAGCTCATCGCCGTTGTCTTCGCTGATGGTAGTCTCAGTGGTGGCCCCTGCTTGTGTTTTGCTAATGGTCTCTGGCTCGATCAATCTCTTTCTCTCAAGCCTTCTTTCAAACAGATTGTTGACTCTGATTATAAAGCTGCTTTGTCTCAAGCGGACTTCCAAACCAAGGTACAATCCTGTCTTTCTTGTACATTATTAATAAATAATCATGCTTGTGAATGTAATTTTGAATCTTTTTGATTATTTTGTTTGCAGTTTCTTAATTTAGCTTCAATTTTTTCAATTGGCATGCAATTGGGAGATTTTTTTTTTTTTTTGAAAGGGAAAAAATCTGGTAAAACTAGGAAAGAAGAATTAGATTCTTAATGCATGTTATTGTAAGTGAAACTAGATTATGTGAGTTGAAAGCACTGAGTGATACGACAGGGCTTTTATATTAATCTACCTGTATTGCTTGGAACATACATTATTTGGGAATCAACTTGTAGCTTGTGGTTTGCGTATGTTGTTTTAACAACTGACTTAGAGAACATCATCAGATTTTGTTGTGTGAGGAAATTTTGAGTAATTGAGTCCTTGCACCCCTTACAATCTCTCTCCATAGCTTTTTGTCCCACACACAAATCATTTTTCCAGTTCTCATCTTCACAGAGTAAATATTTCAGGGTGTAAAGTAGTTTTTTTAATTGATTTACATGTCATCTATCTATATTCTTTTTAAAGGCGTGATCAATCCAAATAGTTTTTAAATGAGATGTTACATGATTGCCTTGTTCCTTATCATAGAAAGTTTGTGGCACTTGTGAACTAATCCCAAAATTTCTTGCAATTTGATAAAAGGCAACTAACTTGATACTAATGCTTCTAAAGCATGGCGAAAAACCTATTTCATTTGCATGTCTAGTTGCTACCCTCTTCTAAAGTGTGTTTTCTGCTCCTGATGTAAACTATTAGTAATTATCTAATATAAGCAAGGAATTTAAGGGAACCAAGCACAACAATTTTGTTATACTTTAAGTATTTGAATATAATTAAGTGATAAAGTGATTGTTATGATTTATATAGGCTGTTCAAGTGACCCAAGAAATTAATGCTTGGGCAGAAAAGGAGACGAGTGGCCTTATTAAAGAGGTTCTTCCTATGGGATCTCTTGACAACTCTACCAGACTCGTTTTCGCTAATGCATTATACTTTAAAGGAGCCTGGAATGATAAGTTTGATGCATCAGCAACCAAAGAATATGACTTTCACCTTGGGAGCGGGGGCTTAGTGAAGGCTCCCTTCATGACCAGCAAGAAAAAACAGTTTATTAGAGCATGTGATGGGTTCAAAGTCCTTGGTCTTCCTTACAAGCAAGGTGAAGATAAACGTCGTTTCACCATGTATTTCCTTCTTCCAGATGCAAATGACGGGCTGCCAGCTTTGATTGAGAAGTTGGGTTCACAATCTGGGTTCTTGGAACGTCATATTCCTCAAACCCAAGAGGAAGTGGGTGACTTTAGGATCCCAAAATTTAAGATTTCTTATGGGGTTGAAATATCCAACGCGCTGAAGGAACTGGGGGTGGTAACATTGCCTTTCTCTGGGGGAGAATTGACAGAAATGGTGGATTCTTTAGTTGGTCAGAACTTGCATGTTTCCAGCATATTCCATAAGGCTTTCATTGAAGTCAACGAAGAAGGCACTGAAGCTGCTGCAGCTAGTGCTGCTGTAATAAAATTGAGGGGCTTGCCATCTAAGATAGACTTTGTAGCAGACCACCCTTTCCTCTTTGTTGTTAGAGAAGATATGACTGGAACGCTGCTGTTTGTTGGAAAGGTGCTCCATCCTCTTGCTGGCTGAATTGGGTTGACATGTTGTTTATGTTGTCTAAGCAAATTATCTCCTGTGTAATCTGAGAGACCACCTATGCTTTGTACTTGTACTAAATAGGTGTAAACTTTAATGGGTGCATATGAGAAAAGTGCAGCGAGGAAAAAAAAAAAAAGTTTGAGATTAACCATATTTATTATATTAAAAATGATTTGCTGTATTGAATAGTATGATTTAATTGAAGGATGCCATTTGAAAACTATGCAAACTGACTGACCGTCATATAATAACCAACTCACATAAATCAAATAACGGATTAGGCACGACAAGTGCGGTGAAGTGAAAGCAAACTATATTTATGATACGAAGAATTATGAAAAATGTATAACGAGAGAATACGTTAACGTTACGAATAATGACCAAGAAGCGGGGGGAATGAAATTTGATTATCAAAATGAAACAAGCGTGAGGAAAAGCTAGAACAGACAAAATTCCCTATGTGGTTTTTAAATCATTGACGGAATCAAAACGTAAATGGGGTGTGAATTGGTAACAACGCCAACAAAACATGAGATATGAACCGTTTCGTTTTTTTTTTAAAAAAAAAGAAATAAAATACACCAATTTAATTAAATAAAATATTATGTCATTATTTTTAATGAGTTTTATTTTTATAATAGAATGCCTATTTAATTTTTTTCCTTTTGTTTCAATGTTTATTATTAATGTATTAATTTATATTTAATGACATCTGAATGTCATGTTTTATTGGATAATTTATAGATGACTAGTGTATCAAATTTCTCTAAGAATTTTTCAAAAATATAAAAATGAAGTTCTTGATGCCGCTGAAATTAAATCCTCAGCCCAGTGAATGAG